TACGGGTACTAATTCTTGCGCTAACCTCGCAATGACATTACCACAAACAAAAGTACCAAAAGCATATTATTATTTTTTTATCCAGTAAACAAAAAAAAAAGATTTTTTATTTATGTAGTTTAGTAATCTGAGGAAGATATCATCTTCCTTTTAACAGCTAATTTTGAAAGTCCTTTGAAATGTTGGTATTGGTAATATACGTATTATGTTACAAGTCAGTAAATTGTGATTAGTGTAGTTGTGAAGCTAAGGAAGCACGCTCAACAATAAGATGTTAAACATTTTAAGATCTTTTACTTATATCGTGTTGTGGACGGTTATCCCGCAGTTATCACGAGTTTTGTATGGAGAACGTTTGTATTTGTTATTTCAGAAAAGCCCGAAGAGTACAATACGTTAATGTATACTCTCCTGACTGTACCATTCGAGATAAGTGTATTTTTCAGAAATTATTTATATCGCATTATTAAACAGTTAAAGTATGGGGTTGAGGGATATAGCAAGTTTCTGGTGTCATGAGACCAGGTCTATATCCCGAGGCTAATACTTTAACCGTTATATTATACCGATACACGCTGGAGAGATAGTTTTAACTAGAAAATATGTGTAAACCATAAGCTGTATAACTGTATATTAATATACCTCTACTTTATTTACTCTATATAAAATCTTGACACGCCATGATTGAAGAAACAAGGGAAAGTATCGTCTGAAAAGTAGGAGGCGCGTTCGGTAGCAAGCTCCGTCCACCTCGCGCGCCGCTTCCGAATTCAATAGCAAGATCCGCCCACCTCGCGCGTCGCTTCCAAGTTCGGAAACAAGCTCCGCCCACGTCTCGGCTCGGCGGAAACACCTGAGTGTAGGTGTGTTTTAGATCCCAGACTAACACACAGGACTAAAACACAATCAGGCAAAAGTGGGGATATATCGGATTTAACAATTTAATAGAGTAAATAAAGTAGAGGTTTATTAAGACTATATAACATTAGCCATATTTACATGTTCCAAACATTCTCGGTGATAGTAGACGTCTTAGGTATGATCTTTGTAGCTTCTCTAAGCGGCGAACGGTGAAATAGAAACAAGATTCCAAAGGCCAACAAGATCTCGGCGTAATATTGAAAGATTTCTGCAGGTAATCTCTACAGTATTTTCAGCCATATAGTGTTTTTCTTCAATGTGTAGCATTAATTATATAGAGAGTAACTTCAAATTTAAAGAAACATTTTCATAATTTATTTCATCGTTTATAACTTCACCTTTAAATATTTCAGGGTTGTTGTGTCGAAGGAATCGGAATGAAGAGCAGTCCTTAAAAAGGAAAGTGAGGAATCATTTTAAATGGGGGCCATTATAGTTGCTACTTTAGAAACTTGCGAATGACTGCATATTCTGTTCCTTCAGCGCGGGAAAACGTCATGTTTTGTTTCTACTTGTATCGCAACTAGCGCGTATGTTACGATAGGTTATACATGTATTATGAGATTAAAAATGCACAGCACTGGTTAAAAACCTTAGCTGGGCGGGATAATTGTTACGTTAGCTCAACATGACGATTTGTTTCTTTCACAGGGAAATAGTCCTGAAACTAAAGCCTGGTAAAACAAACCTTAACCTGGAGACAAAGCATATATTTGTCTATAAAGAATTGCAAAATTGCTTATTCTTTTTATAAATACAAATAGAAAAATGATAAAGTCTGTTCATTCGAATCAATTATTAAAATCGGCCGATGATGTAATGGGAACGTGTCAATGTGAATTTAAAAAGTAAAAAGACGACCATACTTTAACATGCACCTTTTGGCAAGCATACTACGTTTCTGACAGTTCCTATCTTATGTAAATACTGGGTAAACGCTATCTAACTACATTTGAATACTTTAACGCGTTAAGTAAAATCTGTTGCAAGCGATATTGATTATTGCATAGATAGCGACCGACCTCTTTTGTTTCATCAGGTGTATGTCAATAGCTAAGAAGAGCGTAGCTCTTTAATGGTAACACATGCGTGCGTAAACAGAGTTGCTTCCCCTTGCTACACGTTGCCTTTATTTTGGGGAAACAGGAAGTGTATCCTTGAAGCAAAGACAACTGTGTTTCAACACATACATGAATATCTTCATATAGTGTAAACAATCTTCATGTTTTATTACTTGTTTATTGTGATAAAAACTAATATACGTTCTGAATCAAAAAGTCTATCGCATAAAATCTGATACTAACAGGCATGGAACTTCGTTCGGAGATTATTATACTATGACATCACACACACGTCACAATACATCGGCCTTCATCGGTTATTTCCGGAAGGAGGATAAATAACCGGAAAATTCTGATGTTCGTTGCATTTATCTCTTTGTCGGCGCTTCAGGATTTTTTTAATTTCTGTTTTTGTCACAGGCACAAAAAAGTAAAAATGGGGATATTTTCTGGAGATCCTTTTTGTTATCAACCAGGTTCTGTTAATATTTCTACCGGGAGATATCTTCAAAAAAGTCGGCATGAAACCGATAGGTCAACTTGTACATTTATGTTTTCATCATCTAAAAATTTCATCAGCTTTTGATTTCCATTTGTTGAGAATATGAACGAAAAACTTAACATTTTTGAAAGTCTGGTTATAGACTTTACATAATTTATTTATGCATCACCACTCGTACAAGAAACAATGGTTAATGCATTTATGACGAAATTAACAATAACGCCCTTTTTCAGCAACGTATTACTTTTTCACAACGCGTGCCGATTTATAACTAGTTACAGACAGAAACTGTTAAATTTTATTTAGCATCATCACCTGTCAAACCTCGGTGACAGTTACAAAATTTGATATTCAATACGGTGTTTCAGGATGAACACTGATTAAGACTACATATCGATATAACGCCGAACTCAGATACATCAAAGTATTACAATGTTTTCTTTTTTAATTTTCGTTTTTAACTAACATCTCTATACATTTACTTAGACTAATTGTCAAATATGTAATATGCACTTTTTCTATAGCAAATACGGATATAAATTGTCTCTAGTCGTTGAGTCAACATTGAATGCATTGACTAGTCCGCCCTATGTTAGACCCACTTACCTAAAAGCCCTATAATTGATTATGAATGTTAACACTTTTCACAAGAAAGCACAAACATAATTGTCAGTAGATTCCCCATTCCCCCGATACGACTATAAATGAGGTATATTGTTTCTATTATCAATGATTCAGGGACTGGCCCGATATTCAATATTATGTTAAATACATATGTTTACACTGGAAAACAATAAAGACTACTCTTAATATATTTGCATTTCAGTTATATTCATTTCCACATGTTTTATTCTTTTCAAAGCTCTCTCATTGATGGTCGATAGATCGCACTCTCTTTCCACCTTTCGTAATACACTTGGTTTTCTTGTCGTATTTTCGTGTCGTCATTTCCGTATTGCGTATCGAGTATTTCAATGCCATAGCCATGCTACAGTATTACCAAGTAAATAATAATACACGTGCATGGCGACGATATGTCAACACCCGAAAACGATACTTTACTTGGAAATGTGTATGTAATAAACTAAGGCAAGTACTTCGTTCAATGAGCACACGAATAAAGCTCCCGATAAAAAGACATATATTGACTTATGGGACGTAACTGACATTGGATCGGATGACTTCGAGAAGGTCATACATGAATGTTGATATCTTTTATTGTTAGGTAATAACATGAGTCTACTTGTAGGTATAAGACTACATATTAAATGCTAATGAGAAAAGCAAACCAAAAAAGCAAAGGAAAAAAGAAAAAGCAGCATTAATTTAACAGTAAAGTTTGATTTAAGAACACTGTAGGCATGCACAATACTTGCTTTTCACCTTATATGTACAATAAAGAAAGTGGGACAATTTTTATTTCATGATTTTAATTTTAATTCCTTCGGTATTTCTGTATGTGAACTGAAGTTATAAAAAAACATTATCTGTATGCATAAAGTTCCGATTTTTGTCAAGAATGACAACTTTCATTCGGATCAAAATGATTGTGAGAGTTAAAATATATGAAAAAAGCTATGGTGCAGATTTGTATATATTTTGCATTGCTTTTGTATGAAACTATGTATCCTGTTTACTTTTGGCTGGTAGATAATTACATTTATCCATACTATTTCATTCAAAAACGCTTTGTGATAAATAGAATATTTCTTGGGTTAATTACCAATGTTTCTTTGCATTTTTCATTACTGTTATAGTCCCGAAAAATGTCACACAAACTAATATGAAAAAAATGACGAACATTCAATATTTTGGTCTTTTCCCATAATATTCAAAAATCGGAATGCTTCGATTTTCATAAAATCACCTTTACATAATTGCATTTCCATTATGTGGAAATTTCAACAAGTTTTGCTGGTTAAAAGTGGAGAAGTGGAGCCTCCTTAATTGATAGATGGCATAAAACAGGACATTGTGATCAATCATTCGATAAGCATGGTACAATATTTTAGTATACTTACATGATAAGATCGTTATCACATACATAAACAAACTGAAGCATTATTATATACACCTTTGCATAAAAGTCTAATTGAATATATATATATATACGATCAATAGACAAATAGACTGATGCAATATTTTGATTTGAATTCAGCATATGTTTAATATATCAATGAATTTGTTTCTTTTACCTGTCTTTTGATTATATCGCCTAGCTGTACACATTGTGTAGACAGGTAGGACCAAAAACAAGTAATTCGACAATTCATTCATATGCCTACCCTTACTAAATACTCTGATATAAATCGATTGTAAATGCATTGTCTTAATTACCTGTATATCTATATGTATTCACAATATTTTGAGCACACAGATTCCCTACGTCCTCATTGGCTGGATCATAATCACGTGGTGGTCAATGATTTGTGATATTAGCTCGGTTTTCCTATTTTTAGAAACGGCATGTTAATATTCACTTTATAACAATATTTCAATTCAGCGTCACACTGCTCTCAGATAAATACAGCATTTTCCACCGTAAAATGTCCATACTTCACTTCTGTCTAACAATTAAAAACGTATTTACCATCTAATATAACAATTCAGGAGTTTTATATTGGTGAATATGTGGTTAAATGGACCTGAGAATGTGGTATTGACCTAAACAAAGTATCAGTCAATATCACGTTCTCAGGCCCAAATAACCATATATTCATCACAGCAAAAGGCTATAATTCATAAATACTACATTTAACAGAAATAACTAAGCATTAGTCAGAAAAAAGCAATGATCCAAGTCAACCTATTTGATGAAATATCCTAACCATATTGATGATGTTCTCAACAACTGTCATTAAAGTAAACATAACCAACAACACGTAATCCAAGGATCTCCCTACCGATTGCCACGTGAAAGAATGTTGCATTCTTGGTTCATGTTCTATTTGGGTTGGTTCATTTACAAGATCAATACAAATTTTATTTACTTTTGTCTTTTTAGGATGTTCATTTTCAGGATCGTTCAACTCTCGTTTGTGTTCAACACTCGAGTCTCTAACTCTGATGTTCTTATGGAAACATAACACGCGCAGCAGCCACAGTGGAATTGGTGTGGTGTCACTGAGACGGTAAACGTTTAATGTTACGATAACTGTGAAAACAATGAGACTGCTAGTGGTGAGCTTGATCATCAGAGAAATCGTGAGAATGGACACTGGGTCACTGGTATTGGGGATACTGTCCGACATTATAGTCATGTACACAGACAAGGTCAGTAGCATTGTGGTGGCGAATGACACCCTCTCGCCCGAGTCTGCAGGCAGAATAAACGCTAGCAGGTTGCTGAAATTTAACAGACAAAGAGGGATAAGAATGTTGTATAATAAGTGCCATGGTCGTCGCTCCAACGTTAAGGTTATTTCGATGAATGTATTTGTGTTTTGAATGTTGTAAGACCGGGTATCTAAATTGTCAAACTTCCACAATAAATTGCTATCAGCACCAGGCAATATGAATCTGTTGTTAAAATGCAGACTGACCTCATTCATCGGTTCTTGTGTGGAAAATTGCAGGGAGCAGTTATGTTTTTCGTACGGATAATACGTGATATCCGGGTCACAGGTTGTGGTCATTACACCACTTATGACGAACGAAGCTATTCCCGTGCTGTCGAAGAGAATGGATGAATCTTCATGGTTTGTTGTTTTGATATAGATATCGTCGGCACCGTTCAGAACTAAAATTGTCGGCGCCCATACAACTGTTTCACGCATTCTCACCTTCTCGATATCGCCATAGTCAGACGGGTTCCACGTCATCATTTCGTCCCTCCAAATGACAAACAGAGACCCTGTAGTCACCATCCTTCCATTGACAGAATCAAACTCGTTCAGTGACTTGATCGAGTAACTTACTTGGATATCAAGAACGCTACTTTGGTTCTGTAACGGGCGTATATCTCGGTTGTAGCTCATCAGTAAATCCGAATGAAGTATAGACATGTTTCCGTACGATATAAATATATAATCCATTTGAAGGTATTAGTCAGTCCCATTAGAGCCATTGTTTTAGTTAAATTGTTTAAAAGAGGATAGAGCAGTCCTTGATAACGTCAGAAAGACTCAATTGTTATTAAAATCAATGTTGCCAAACAAAGATGTTTATGTGCTAATGTACATTTTTCGTCGTACAGCACCCAACGTATTCATGAACAATAATAACAACTACTGGTACATTACACATGTTACTCATCAAGCATAGAATTCTGTCAAAAAATCTGCTATGCAAAACAGTAGATTATTAAAGCAAAAACTGTCATGTTACACGTATTCAAACATGAAACAAAAACACACGTGTCCAAACCAGTATACAATAATGTACATACCATAAATGGCCGTATGTAATGCAATATTAGATTAACATTTACTTTACAGTGTTTTTTTAAATATTCATTCCATTCTTAAATTTAATCTATGTGTCCTGTTGAAAACAAATCTCCCAATTCGTACCCGGTATATCAAATTTATTATGTCTCCATGTAGAAAGGGCATTCAATAATAAAATGAGTTACAACATCATTACTTTTCTTTGCACACAGTTTACAGACAATTTCATTATCTTCCAAAGTAATTGATAGCTTCAGTAGATAAACAAGGTCCCATGTGAATTGTCCTAATTTTAAACTCAAAAGCAGCAATGGGTTAGGACCCTTTGTTGTATGAATACGAGAATATCTTTGAAGGGTATTTTTCGTATTTAGTTTCTCTCTCCATTTGTACAAGTACCAGTCGGACATGAATTGTACAATAAATCTTTTCCATCCATGCTTCAGTATTTGCGCTGGACTAATAATAAAACCCCGGAAAAGACATTCTAGCTTGAACATGAAATTTGTACCTTAATCAGGGATGAATCCTCGCTGGTTTGTTGATGGATACCCGTATAGAAAACTGCTCATTCTTGCAATGAACAGGAGCTGCCACATAAATGTCATGGCTCCATTACACAGTTTATTCCAGAACATCAACTTCTTACTTTCAATTTCTCTAGAAATATCGTCAACTACCAGACATTGAGTTGTAACGAATGTTGACGATATATTAGATAAACCAAGACATCGTCGACAAGCATATCGTTGAGTTCGTTCAAATAAGTCTGCGGGTGTCTGACTGTAGTCGCTCCATATCTCACTTACGTATGTTATACAAGGTATAATTATCCGCTAGATGATATTAACACTCGTGAGCGGATTGAGTCCGTATGGATGTAAACCGATACTCAGTAACGAGTTCAATAATTTCCTGCCTTTCAAACATGAGTTAAGGTGCTGTCACACACTAAAAACATGACAGTAGCAATACCGATGTAGTACCGGCATTCCCGTTGTGATACCGTTGTTCTACCAATGTTAGAGGTGATGTGCTACCGAATACCACTGTTCTGACACCTCATTGTTACCGATGTGCCGCCGATGATATACCGAGGCGCCGCCGTTGTTCTACCGATGTGGCACCGTTGACTAGAATTATAGCGGAGTGATACCGTTGCGCTGCCGATGTTACGGTAGTACATCGTTAGTGCATCGGTGGCGCATCAGTAATATTGTAAAGGCCTAATCTTTCGTTGGGGATATAATTTTGTTTATTTCGTATAATTTCAACGAAATTTAAACCACACGAAATATAAATTAAAGGAAAATATGAAATAAACTATTAATTTAATAATTAGCTATGTAATTACATTAAGACACAAGTCTTGATAAACGCGGCGTAATTATCGTCACAGGCACAGCGGTAAACACTTATAACAAGAGCGTGTCAAATAAGTGTTATATTTGTAACGCAGTTACATCGCCCTTTGTATGTAAATTATAGAGCATGAAGGATTTGACCGGTACCCATCGAGTGAGTTTATCTCGCCCGGCCTAACCTGTACCTCGCAAGTCGTGCGGTAAAATCAACTTGTATAGAAATATTTACAAACAAAACCCCACTAAATATTCCCTTTTTAATAATAATCAAGTGTTCTTTTTAACGAAGAGGGTGTATAGTGTAAATAAAGCAGTCGTCGTCAGTTGTTTACGACAATAACGTTAAATTTAGATCAATTTCTGGCACCATGCTGCCAGGACGGTAGCCCTGTTTTTGACACTTTTTCAACAGGGAAACACGGGTGAATAAACTTATAATGCAATAGAGAACTGTTGCTTAAATGATTGAAAACTCACGTCTACCTTGAGTAATATTTTCATTGAAATCGGAATGATTTTCTCAAATGATGTGTCAAGGTAACCGTGAATATTTATCTTATCAGACTTTGTGTTATGTAATGTCGGTAGGCCTCATAATTTCCATTTTAGATAGCTATAAACTACCACACATGTTTGTTTAGACTAAATTATATGACCATCGAGCGATGGTCGATCTATTGTTTTCCACTGATTGTGTTGCAGCGAGGCGAGAAAAATTCACCTGGAGTGGACATGTGCATCATCACTTAGGGCGATGTACGGTTAGCCGGACATATTGTCTTATTGTCCAGGTGTCAAACAAATAAACAAATACAGCGTTTTAAAAAATTAACTCCACGAAATATAATCCCAACGAATTTGTCCCAAAATAAAAACAAGGAAATTTAACCCCAACGAAATATATATGCTTTTCGCCAATGTTCTGACGATGTCCTGAAGATGTACTACCGTTCCTAGCGAAGTGATACCGTTGCGCTGCCATACTAGTACCGATCCCCGAAAATCGCCAAATGTGCTCCGGTATGGCTCCGGCGACCTAAATCAGCTAGGTGTGACAGCTCCTTTAGTAATCCCTGTGTTAGATTGTAGATTTCTAGTAAAGTACATCCCCGCGAATTTATTGCAAGTTGTCCATGGTAAATTGTTGTCGTCAAACTTGCATTGTAATAGACACGCACTAGCAATCGTTCTACTTTGACTGATTGTGAATTCCATTACCGAGCGTTTTGAATGGTTATAATTAAGTCTCCATTTGCAAGCATAAGCATACACAACATCAAGATGGTTTTGCACCAACGTTTTAGACGCTGCGAGCAGTAATGTATCGTCAGCTAGCAAAACACATGGTACGTGAAGATTTCCGACTTTCAGTTCTTGTTTAAGTTCATCAAGGTGAATGATCAGATCGTTAATGATTACTAGAAAACACTAAGCAGTTAATTTTTTCCCTTGACGGACACCCTGTAATATTGGGTATAACTAACTTTTTGCCCCATCGAATAAAACGGAGGAATACACATCTTGAAAAGAATCGTAACGGAGCCTCCAACGTTTGCCAATGAATCCTAGATTATAAAGCTTGTAAATGAGCCCTTCAATCCACACGCTGTTAAATGCCGTTTGATTGTCCAAAAAGGCGGTAAAAACTTTTGATCCACATTCAATGTAGTTTGCTATCGATTCCTCGGCGATAAGGGAATGAGGGAAGAACATTTCCGGCGTTTTTGAACATATCCGCAAATAAAGAACTTTTTCAAGCAGTTTCTGGATAACTGGTGTTAAAGTAATGTCCATGTAATTATTAACATCCAGCCTGTCCTTTTTGTCACATTTGAACAAAGTAATTACGATTCCATACTTGAAATGAGATGGGTAATGCTCATTGTCTAAACTCTTGTTGTATAGGTCAACAATAGCACTCAAAAATGTATCTCCAACAGATTTGATATGCTCACATACTATGCCAGCATGGCTACCAGCTTTTCCGTTGCTCATATCAGAAAGTGCTTTTTTCAGTTCGTCTACGTGTATGATATCGTCGCATATACCGTCCGAGTTCTAGTAGCTTTGTTCGAACATAATTATCTTGGACACGCGCGGATATTTGATTCCGGTGATGTTCATCAAGATGGTGCTGGGTTAGCGGTGTTGAAAGTGTCGCCTTCGCGTAAAATATGTCCATTAATGCGTAATTCGTAAGTAGAAACTCTATCCCTTTTCCTTGCTCGCACAGCTTTGTAAAACGTTCCGGAGTCTATTTCGGCATACAATTCTAATTTACGAAACTGTTGTTGTTCATAGTCAGTCCTTTCTCGATCCAGCACAATACGGAAGCTCCTTTTTGCGGCTTTACATAGTTGATACGATACAAAAGTGTTGCCCCGCAGACGCCCCTTTCCAATCCATACAGACCGTAGTCGTCTCATTTCTGCGTGTAATGGCTTTACAGTTCCATAATTCCAGTACGGCTTCAAATACTGTCTGTACTGTATATAAGGTCATTTCAATTCTGCTGCTCCCTGTAATGCATTTACTATTTCCTTAACATATTCTTCAATATCGGATGCGTCGCTCACATTTATATTTTGTAGGAGTGATTCCGCTGTGCATTGATAATTCGTTATGTGTTCATTATCAACAGCTTTCCAGTTCACCGATCTGTCAGGTCCGTGAACGAAAATATCGGCAAATCCACATGAATAACGATTCTAATCGGTAAATGGTACGACACGTTCAAAAAGTGATCATCGCATATCATGCTAGAGTGAACTAATTCAAGTTTTGATTCACACAGTAGTATGTGATCGATCATGCTCGCGTTATTTCCATCGCCAGAGAGCTTAGTATAGTTACCGCCTAAAGACCACGCTTGAGAGTTGACGGAAATTAGTTGTCTCTCTAACATGAACTGTTCTAGTATTTTCCCTTCACTGTTAGCTTCGGGATGATTTTTATCGCCAAACGTTTGAAAAATCTGAGCGTTGAAGTCCCCCGTAACGATGACCGTTCCTTCCTCAACGTATCTGTCCTACATGTCAGATAAAAGTTCAATAGACGATTTTCTGCTGCGTTAAGGTTTGAGGAAGGCATACGCACACCAAACACGAAAACAAAGGAGTTTTCCGTTTTCACAGGGACACCAACGAACCTGTCGTTCCCGTCTTGCAGAAGCGGTGAAACGGTGCGGTCACGCACATTGTGTGTCCTATACATTGACCTTGACCAGTCAGTGTTATAATTTATTATTTATGTTTGGTCATATTGCAAGAGGAATCTTAATAATTTCTTTATGAACCATTATGTAGCTTTTCTTATAGTGAGTACAACCAGGTTATTATCAGTATGCTCATTGCACTTTATGAGCTGTATATTTTATTTCCATTCTTAATACATGAAAGAAGGTATAGATTGTAAAAACTTATCATTTATTTATTACATTTGTATTTTGCTTTCTACAGCTCAGTGTCAACAATTGAGAAAAGTACTATAAAGTTTTTTACGGTAGAGAATTATTATATATTATGTATATTATCAATAATACAATGTAATACGAATATTTCTCTAATCGTCGAGTCCCCATTGATTTCACTGACTAGTCAGCCCTCTGTTAGATCCCATGACCTAACAGTCTTATCATTGATTACGAATTTCAACAATTGTCAGTCGATTCCCCTTTCCCAATTATAAATATAAATTAAGTATAGTGTACCTTCCCTTTATCAACAATGACTCAGGAACTAGCCCGATATTCAATATTATATATTTGTAATCATCGGCAAACAAAAAGTCTACTCTTGATATTAACATTTCAAGTATCTTCACTTCCACTTGCTTTATCGCGCTATCGAATCAGTTACAGTAACCGAACAGGCTGCACATATCTCGACAATTTAACACGTGATTCCTGTTAAGCACGATTATGGTTGCATGTTGTTGTAGTAACTTATAACTGAATAGAGCAATCTAATTGATAGACGGCATAAAACATGTCCGTATTTTACATTTTTATATTTTGTTTACATTTACACCTCTTTTAACTGAGCTGTTATGTAAAACCTTGTACGGAATGATAGGTGCCTGACAATTGATTAGTAATGTGTATTTTGTTACATACTTACATGATGGTGGGATCGTTCTCACATAAACAATCATAGATAAGTATTATTATTATATACACATTTACATACAAGTCTCATTATATATACATGTTTGGCCAATAAAAAATAGAATGATACAATATTTCAATTTGAGATAAGCATAGATATAAGTGTATCAATGAATCATTTTTACCTGTGAAATATTAAAATTTATTGTTTCTATATATGATAAATATCACTTTTTTTCTGATTTGAACAATCAATACACCGATTACAAACTGCAACTACAAGCTGCCCATCTGGTCAAAGGCTGGTTAGCTTAACGATACGAATGCCTCTTGAAAATCCGCCAATTTTACTGCCCAGAATTATCAGATCTATAGCCTATCATTGGAGAATTATTCTCTGGGAGAAACATGACGTTTAATACCACAGTTAACTTTCATTTCAAGGAAGCTAGCAGACTATGCAGATATGCAATTCTAACTGTTTGAACGGAGGAAACTCATGTCAAATGAAACACGGTGTCAGCGTCTCCAAGTCCAAAGTTAGGCCAAGCGGTTGGAAGAAAGTATAAGTGAACCAGGGTCATCTCTGGTAGTGATAGTGATAAAGTATAACTTACAAAAGTGGTCTTGATATTTGACAATCAGATAAGTGGTAATAAAAAAACTCTGCATGTCCCTACTCCCTACCATTTTAGATTCGGCGCTCATCAACAACGCGTAGTGATCTGAGTTGATGACGGGATTATTTTTTTTAAATAATTACATTATGGTAGTAATTTGGCATGCTTTATTAAAAATGTGAAGTAAAATACCAACTTTATTAAAATTAATTATCAAAGGAATTTAATGATGAGATTTTAAATTTGATTAAAATATTTGCAGATATCCAGATCAAGTATTGTTAGCTTGATGTGTCACTCCCTGTTCCAGGGTAGGTTTTCGTAAAAAATAAGGTTTTGGTTAAAGTTTTGTAAAGGCTTACCATTCGCCTACTAATAATGTTAAGATGCTGATTCTTTGAATAGAGGTTCTTTAGGGGGGTTACATTAATGCTGTAGATTGAAAATGGAAAATAATTTTATTTGTTTTGAATTTTTGATATGTTTCGACTTAACTATCTTGGCCAAAATCTGCAGGTTAAAGTTTGTGTTAAAGTTTGTAATGGCTCACCGTTCACTTAATAATAATGTTAGGATGCTGATTTTGTGTAGAGAAATCGCGTGAATATCAAAATATATTTGGTATTACTGAAGACACTGTTAGATATCCTCTATTTTGTCAGTCTTTGAATTAGATCATATGTACACATTTTGTAAACAGAAAGGACCGAAACAAGTTACCCGACCATTCATATATATTCCTACCCACACTTAATACTTAAATATGAATATACATGTATTGTAAATGCCTTTTTCTTTAATTGCTGTATATATATCTAGCCATGGTATTGAGCAAATTTAATAACACACTTGTTTTCATACGTCCTCATTGGTTGGATGATAATCACTGGAGGTCAATGATTTGTGATATTGGCTCGGTGTTACTATTTTTAGAAACGGCAGGTCAATATTCACGTTATAACGTAATTTCAATTTAACGTCACACTGCTCTCAGATAAAACCGTAACCGGTTCATACTTCCATCTAGGTAAATGATAAAAACATTATTTCGCGCACAATGTAACAGCTAGGGACTTTGATTTCGGTGAATACAATGTTTGTGGTTCTATTACATACCTACTTATAAATACGTGTTGTTTTTTTAGATGCGATACGACACAATTGCTTTAGCCCATATCAGCCGTCGCCGTATCACACCCCTTTTGGAACACTTCTTCACATTTTCCCCATCTACCACCAACAACGTCATTCGGAACCCTTATGACATTTTTCGTTTTTCAATATTTTAAAAGTAACGTAGATCATATGATAGAAGATTTATCTGTATTTTTTTTAGTAAGTATGTAATAACCATTTTAAAACATGACTTTTTCCATATCACCCCTCTGGCCTTCGGACCACGGGCTTATATTGGAGTCTCGGTTTGATACTGGATGTGATATAGAAAAAGGCGTATATTATTCTCTATATAAGGACCCGAGAAAGTGGTATTAACCAAAACGAGGTCTCGGTCAATATCACTTTTTTCAGGTCCATATAATCACAAATTCAACAGGACAAAAGGCCATCATTGATAAATACTACATTGAACAGAAACAAGTAAATATAAGTATGAAAATCAATAATGATTTAAATCAACATATTTGATAAAATATCCTAACCATATTGATGATGTTCTCAACAACTGTCATTAAAGTAAACAAAACTAACAACACGTAATCCAAGGATCTCCCTACCGATTGCCACGTGAAAGAATGTTGCATTCTTGGTTCAGGTTCTATTTGCGTTGCTCCAATTACAGGATCAATACCAATGTTGTTTGCTTTTGTCTTTTTAGGATGTTCATCTTCAGGATCGTTCATCCCTCGGTTGTGTTCAACACTCGAGTCTCTAACTCTGATGTTCTTATGGAAACATAACACGCGCAGCAGCCACAGTGGAATTGGTGTGGTGTCACTGAGACGGTAAACGTTTAATGTCACGATAACTGTGAAAACAATGAGACTGCTAGTGGTGAGCTTGATCATCAGAGAAATCGTGAGAATGGACACTGGGTCACTGGAATTTGGGATACTGTCCGACATTATAATCATGAACATAGACAAGGTCAGTAGCATTGTGGTGGCGAATGATACCCTCTCGCCCGAGTCTGCAGGCAGAACAAACGCTAGCAGGTTGCTGAAATTTAACAGACAAAGAGGGATAGAAATGCTGTATAATAAGTACGTTGGTCGTCGCTCCAACGTTAAGGTTATTTCGATGACTGTATTTGTGTTTTGAATGTTGTAAGACCGGGTATCTAAATTGTCAAACTTCCACAATAAATTGCTATCAGCACCAGGCAATATGAATCTGTTGTTAAAATGCAGACTGACCTCATTCATCGGTTCTTGTGTGGAAAATTGTAATGAGCAGTTGTGTTTGTCGTACGGGTAATACGTGATATCCGGGTCACAGGTTGTGGTCATTACACCACTTATGACGAACGAAGCCATTCCCGTGCTGTCGTAGAGAACGGATGAATCTTCATGGTTTGTTGTTTTGATATAGATATCGTCGGCACCGTTCGGAACTAAAATTGTCGGCGCCCATACAACTGTTTCACGCATTCTCACCTTCTCGATATTTCCATAGTCAGACGGGTTCCACGTCATCATTTCATCCCTCCAAAGGCAATACAGAGACCCTGTAGTCGCCATCCTTCCATTAACGGAATCAAAATCGTTCAGAGACTTGATCGCGTAACTTACTTGGATATCAAGAACGCTGCTTTGGTTCTGTATAGGGCGTATATCTCGGTTGTAGCTCATCAGTAAATCCGAATGAAGTATAGACATGTTTCCGTACGAACCGGCGTAAGAATACGGTACCAAAACACCAACAAATAAGACGATGATGCCATTAAACGTTTGACCCAGACGGGAGAAATTCACCTTGCAATCTCTCATTTTGATAATTACTTTTTCCACAAGTTCATAACAATCTCCAATATCTTAATTACAAGTAATGTTATTTCCATCAAGCACATGTATGCTCAGCACTTCGTCGTTGCAGTCCTATTCACGTACTGTTGTTTGATATGGTTCCCACTGAGGGATAATTCATGCTGCCTCCTATGATCCTCTTTTGAGATAAAACAGGTTCGATATCAACAAGGCCTTACGTCAGTATTTCAGGAAATCGATACATTATTAACGTTGCTCATTTATTATATAATCCATTGGAAGGTATTAGTCAGTCCCATTAGAGCCATTGTTTTAGTTAAATTGTTTTAAAAAAATAGAACAGTTCTTGAATGTATCTGAAAACATCAGAAAGACTGAAATGTTATTAAAGTTAATGTTCCTAAACAAAGACCATTATGAGCCAATATACATATTTCGTTGTACGGCACCCACCGTATTCATGAACAATAATGACAACTACTTGTACATGTACATCACACATGTTACTCGTTAAATTGGCAACTGGTTATTGATGATTTGTTATGAAGCTATTTTTCCTAGTATATACAAATGTCTCTTATACCAGAAATAATACTGTCAAAAAATCTTCTACGTGGAATACTGGAATAACAAAGCAAAACTAATCATGTTACACGTATTCAAATATTGAACAAAAACACATGCGTCCATACCAGTATACAATAGTGTACATACTATATATGGCCGTATGTAATATAAGGTTAACATGTCCTTTTCAAAAAATATTCCTTTTTAAACTTTAATTCATGTGTCATGTTGAACGGCAAATTAATGATTTATTCATCAATAGTACTTACATTGTATACCTAAACATTAAGATTACTATTGATTCATAACGTAATGAATTTGAAGAATTCAATTTATTCGTATTAAATGCGACATGTAGCCTCACAATCTAACAGCATTGACTGGGGTAAACAGGTGTTATTCGCTTTTCAGTTTCTCTCTGTTAAACTTTATTTACCGTTGTAAGTTTACGAAAATGTAACATTTTCTCGTCCAGAGTCACATTTTTCAGATCCTTTAACATGTAAGTTACATACATATGCTGCTGAAGAATAAAATAAAATCCGTTTCATAGCCGTTTTAAATGGTATGTTTTGTGTAATTAAAGGGACACATCACATTGGTTGCTGTTTATTTTGAACAGTGACATGATGATATACAGTAATATGTAGATGTGCAATACGGCTCTTCAAAGTTTCTAAGGTCAATGTCACGCTGACTAAAAATAGACCACGGAAGTACAGTCCTTGTCTCCAAACGTATACTCTATTTGAAATATGACAGGGTCGCACTGTGATATGTGAATGTGCAATAGGGGTTAATTAAGGTCAAGGTAAAATATTACTGCTACTAAAATTAGACTGGGATGAGGTCAGGCACATGGCGTGATCCATGCGCTGACCTGTCAGTGTTACAATTTATTTAAATCTAAAATCTAAATGCACCATTATGTAGGTTTTATCATATCTATTAAAATTAGGCGGATACCAGTGTGCTTTTTATACTTTACTATCGAATACAACGATAATGGTGAAACTGCAATAGTAGTCATCTGTTCATGAAATATTAAATACTGTTTAATCGACCCCAGGCGATACTATCCCATTCCACATCAATCCTGGGTTTCTACAATCTAGGGAACGAGTCACATACAGGAGCTTTATATCTCCTGTTGTTCACTCCGAGATGTAATGATATCATCTATAATAACTACTAAGGAAACCTTAGCCATCGGTAATCGATATGTTAGAATTTTAATAAATTCACACAACAACATTTTACACTAATGTACACTACGTACACGAAAAGGAGAATCATTTATTATAAACATCTAATCATACTGCAAAGCCATTTATAGGTTGGGACTCGTGTTTGCCCAGAAAACAGATAATGTGTAGGGCGGTAGTACGGGAAAACAGAAAAAAACAATTTTTGTATAATTCCAACAATTTAGTAAATTTTTAAATTATAATAAGTCAACAATATGGTTTTGAAACAACATTAAATAACAACTCAGTTCCTAAACAACTCGTAACGATTGATTTTTTTCTTCATTTTTCACTTTTTGATCACAATGTTCAGATTGGTAATCTGACAGTTACTAAACAAGGGCGTTGACATCATCTGAAACGATACGCTCTGTGCGGACGTCGTATGCGGGTCATACATTTCACTAAACAGCTGATCCAGTTCAAGCCCATTTTGTCTCAATTTCACTCTCCGTTTGGCTTGCAAACCGTTTCGCTATATTGTTGATTGTTGACATTAGCAGACGAACGTTCTCCGGTGTGTTCGATTCGAATCTTCGAGTTATCTCCCTTACAACAGGCGCGCGTGCTCTTATGTACCCCGGTAAGGATACTAACATAGCTTCAGGTACCTTGGCAATCCGACCAATCACCGTGCGACATTTTTCTTTGCAGTATGACAATATAGGTTGTGAAGAAATTCAATGGAAAATCGGCTCAGGAGATGGTAGATTTATTTCTTCTCAGCAACGTTATTTTCAACAACATGGCTTTTCTTAATCCAAGAGATCAATGTGTTTTTATCAAAGAATGTGGTAAGCGGTTGATCTATTTATTTTGAAAAAAAAATATGTTCATTATACCAATTATTGACAGTTAACTTACTTCAAAACTGTTTGAAACGTCCTTAAATCAACTTAGCTGTTGATAGGACGTTACACAATATAAAACCACACCCAAATTGTCTGAATGTAATATTGCTCTTTGCTCATTTAGATATTTCCTTACAAACTCGAGAGCTTTGTTAAGAGACAAGAAGGAGATGAATTACATTAGAACGGTATATCGACAAAGATGATTAAAGACACAGAGAATTAAAACACACACTTGTCTGAAACGTTACTGGAATCATTCCACACACACTTGTCTGAAACGTTACTGGAATCATTGAGCAATATTCTTTGACAGAACAAAAGAACAAATATCTTATAAGATCCTGTCAAAATTTAATATATGAATTCATGTACATGTACCTCATGTTACACATTTCCATGTGTCTGAGTGTTGGAAATAAAATCTGTGGTGACGTTATAAGAAAATTCATCCTCAATAGCCCCGGTGTAGAGAGCGAAAGTAAGTGTAACACCTGGATAAACTTATGAAATCTGTTGGTTTGTTTCGGTCTTTTCTATCTCTAGTTGACTCCGTATCGCACAATATTTATAAAAGATAAAACTTAGACTGCAGATCTTTTAACGAATATTTCTGTTTAATCACAACATTTAAAAAATGTATATAATTAATAGAGATCCTGCAAGTCGGTGTTCAGATTATTAGGCGTTTGTATTAGACTCAGTTTCACTGTTCAGGTGTTCTTGGGTCATCAGTGCTATTGCCGATGTTTTCCGATTTACGTTTTTTTTTTTTTTTATCTAATGATTCATTTTTGCAGTTTTAAATCGTCTAGACTTTGTCTGGAAACAGCAAGTGACATATATCTAGATTTACAATCCACTGATGTTCAGGGAAAGCGGACCGGTAGTTAATGAGTTGTAACCCCGGAATCCGGTCTTTCCATCGTTAATAATTGAAATCTGTATATTATTATTGAAACAAATTTACTGCTCCTCGGAAATAAATTCCTGTTGGTAGAAACAAACACTATAAATAAACTAAATGTGCAAAATTGAATTATATCCGGAGAAACGTTTAGTAACTTTTGTGTAACATTTTATCATTATACTTATCATACATGTATTTTAAGTTAATGTTAAGTTAATGTAAGGTTGTTTATTCCTTTAAATGCCTTCTGATATTACATGTATTCTTTATTTATATGATTGATATGCCATTGTAAATGTAAATGTATTACGGAGATTGCCTGTGTCACGTTGTAATGTTCCCTATACGTTTGCCTCATCGATATGCAATACAATTATTTGAATCAAGTCATTGGTATAATACGACCTAATAACCTCGTTATCACGAATTAACTTTGTATATATATATATTTCTCCCGACACTAATCGGCTTTCGTAGTATTAATGTATTAGTCATAAAGTTCTTTTTGGTAGAGCTGATTAATTTGGTTTCTGCATCAGGTTACTTAAACCTAAGGGAAATGAATTGCTGTACGTATAAACTATAGGCCATCAACGTACATGTATTCTTAAATTTTAAGATGTTTATTTTCAAGCAGATTGTCATTTTCAAACAAAACGAATTGATTGTTGATTATTTTTGAACTCAGGTTTTTGTTGTTTATTTGTTGTTTTGATTATTCAGGGAATGTGATTGCGTACCAAATATTTTTTTGGTAGTACATGTAAGAACTAACGGAGTAGTCTGTCGGATTCGCATGAATAGCATTAGAAATACTATAATCGAAATATTAGTATCTCTTGTGTTTGTATTAATATCATGGCACATATAATTCGTGATTTATATTTCAAAGACTGCCAACTAAACATTTCCTCAGGGAATAATGTCAGACCTGTTGTACACAACTTACATGTAATAAAATTATAGGAGATATCTTTTCTGTTTGTTTAATATAAATATCTTATATATGGATTGAACGCCGTTTTTTTATTTTCATGCCGGTATGAACGCAAATCGGTTACATCAATATCGCATTACATATGTACATCTATATTAGCGGGCTTCATGTTTAGTTAATATGGATGTAACCGATTTGCGTTCATACCGGCATGAAAATTAAAAAAAAATGCGCCCATAACGCAGGGCAATCTACATGTTATCAAAAGCGAAGCGACAAGACCCTCATTGAACAAGGAAAATCTATGACGTCATAAGTAAACCACGAGTTACGTCACGATAGTTTTTGCTTTCATACTCAAATGAAATGCATTTCTGCGG